GCTGGGGACACCCCGGGCACCGGGGACACCAGCGCCCGGGATACCGGCGGGACGGGGGCATCCGGGGCAGCAGCAGCCCCGGGGGACCGGGGACATGGCGGCGGGACGACACCCGGGACACCCGGGACACCCAAGGCAGAGCCAGCCCGGGGACACCGGGCACGATGAGGGCCCGGCCAGGCTGGGGACACCCAGGGACAGGCACGGGTACCCGGGCATGGGCAGCCCAGGGAGACCTGGGGACACCGGGGACACCCAGGGGACTGGGAGCACCAGGAGCACCGGGGACATCCGGGGAGACCAGGGACATGTGGGGACATGGACATGGGGACACCCAGCAGACTGGGAGCACCAGGAGCACCGGGGACATCCGGGGAGACCAGGAACATGTGGGGACATGGACATGGGGACACCCAGGGGACTGGGAGCACCAGGAGCACCGGGGACATCCAGGGAGACCGGGGACATGTGGGGACATGGACATGGGGACACCCAGGGGACTGGGAGCACCAGGAGCGCCGGGGACATCCGGGGAGACTGGGGACATGTGGGGACATGGACATGGGGACACCCAGCGGACTGGGAGTCCCAGGAGCACCGGGGACATCCGGGGAGACCGGGGACATGTGGGGACATGGGGACACCGGGGACACCCAGGGGACTGGGAGCACCAGGAGCACCGGGGACATCCGGGGAGACCGGGGACATGTGAGGACATGGACATGGGGACACCCAGCAGACTGGGAGCACCAGGAGCACCGGGGACATCCGGGGAGACCGGGGACATGTGGGGACATGGGGACATGGGGACACCCAGGGGACTGGGAGCACCAGGAGCACCGGGGACATCCACAGGGACTGGGGACATGTGGGGACATGGACAAGGGACACCCAGGATGCCTGGAGCGCATCCCAAACCAGGGTACCAGCTGCCTGGCGGGATGGGGACAGAGGGACAAGGGACCAACAGGACACAGCGTGGGGACACCGGGGTGACAGCGGAGGTGGCGCTGGTAGCAGCAGACGCTTTAATCCCGCGCCGGCCATGTCCCGATCCCTGCGGGCTCCGTCTGCACTCGGGGCCGTCCCCACGTGGCGTCCCCGCGCTCCGGAGCGGTGCCCTGTCATCCCCACCGCCATCGTGGTGGTGGGTCCGTCTCCGTGCGCCTGGGGACTGCGTCCATGGAGGAGCTGTAGTGTCCACGGAGGAGCTGCGGCATCCATGGATAAGCTGCAGCATCCATGGATGAGCCGCGGTGTCCACAGAGGAGCTGCGGCCCCCATGGATGAGCTGTGGCATCCATGGATGAGCCGCGGTGTCCACGGAGGAGCTGCGGCATCCACGGAGGAGCTGCGGTGTCCACGGATGAGCTGCGGCATCCACAGAGGAGCTGCAGTGTCCACGGAGGAGCTGTGGCATCCATGGATGAGCTGCGGCGTCCACGGAGGAGCTGCGGCATCCATGGAGGAGCTGCGGTGTCCACGGATGAGCTGCGGCATCCATGGATGAGCTGCAGCGTCCACAGAGGAGATGCTGCGTCCACGGAGGAGCTGCGGCACCCATGGATGAGCTGCAGCATCCACAGAGGAGCTGCGGCACCCATGGATGAGCTGCGGCACCCATGGATGAGCTGCGGCACCCATGGATGAGCTGTGGCATCCACAGAGGAGCTGCGGCGTGCATGGAGGAGCTGCAGCATCCACAGAGGAGCTGTGGCACCCATGGATGAGCTGTGGCACCCATGGATGAGCTGCGGCACCCATGGATGAGCTGCGGTGTCCACGGAGGAGCTGCGGTGTCCACATCCCCACGCGGCGCTCAGAGCAGCGTGATCTCGCTGGGCGGCAGCGTGAGGCGCTTCTCGCGCGCGCACAGCAGGCTCTCCATGTGCGTGGCCACCACGCGGCACAGCTCCAGGCCCTGCGCCGAGGGGGAYGCTCGCCGGGGACGCCCTTGTCCCCACAGTGTGAGCGTGTGTCAGCGCGGAGCGCCCCCGGGTGACCGCGAGCCCCCCCGGGCCCTACCTGCTCCAGCTGCARCTGGGTGATGCCCTGCGAGAGCAGGTCGCCCAGCGCGATCTCCACGTACGGGGAGCTGGAGCCGCCCGCCGGCCGCCGCGTCCGCGTCGACTGGATCTCCTTCAGGGAGAACTTGGCCACGGGCTCCTGGCGGGGAGGTGGGCAGCGTGGCACCCCTGGACCCACGGGGACCCCCACGTCCCGCAGGAGGGGTGAGGGAGCAAAGGGGGTGCAGACAGGAGTAGCGTTGCACCCAGAGTGGGTGCCCTCTGGCCCACTGGGGCCGAATCCCGGAAAGCTGCGGAGTTGGGAGAGCTGCACTGCCTGCTCCCGGGTGCATTGCACATTCCTGGGTGCATTGGATATTCCTGGGTGCATTGCACATTCCCAGATGCTTTGCACATTCCCAGGTGCCTTGCACCTTCCTGGGTGCATTGCATATTCCCAGGTGCATTGCACATGGACCAGGGGGCACAAAGCGTGGGGAGTTTGTTCCCATCGGAGTGGTGCCTGCAGCCACCCTGCATGTGCCCCCTGCCCCACACCTACRTGGGTCTCCTTGCTGAGGAAGTTGAGGCCGTTCTGGTTGACGGCAAGGATGCAGGGCGAGACGATGGCGTTGTTGCTGCAGCTCTGGATGTAGAAGAAGGAGGACCCGAACATGGGGTAGGCGCTCAGCAGCCCTGCGAGGTGGGCGAGAGGGCGCTCAGCACGAGCCGGCTGGAACCCGGGCTTTGGACCAGGAGCCCAATTGGACCTGGGCCCAGCAAAGAGCCCCCATTGCAGCCCACTGGGAATGTCAGTGCAGGAGCCTGGGGACCAGCCCACGTTGCCTTCACGTGTCCTGCCTCCTGCGGCTGCATCCTGCAGCCTCTGCCCATGCCAGACTCTGTGCTGTGCCCCATTCTCCCTGTTCCAGAGCATCCACGGAGCTATCAGCAGCATTGGCCTGGCAGCACCACATCCAGCAGCATCCCCTCCCCACGAGCATCCCTTTTGAGGAGCATCCCCTACTCTGAGCATCCCCTCTCAAGGAGCATCCCCTCCCCACAAGCWTCCGCTCCTGAGGAGCATCCCCTCCTGAGGAGCATCCCTATCCCACAAGTATCCCCTCTTCACACGTATCTCCTTCCCTCAAGCATCCCCTCCTCACAAGCATCCCTATCCCACGAGCATCCCCTCCCCTCAAGCATCCCCTTCCCGCAAGCATCCCCTCTCRAGGAGCATCCCGTCCCCACGAGCACGGTGGTCGCCGTCCCCGTCCCGCTCACCCAGGAACTGCGCGCGCGCCTGGTGGGCGCTGAGCGCCTGCGCTTGCTGCATGTGCTGGCTCACCATGTGGAGCCAGGACTGCGCCTTCAGCAGGCGGAAGAGCTGCGGGGGGACGTAGTCCTGCAGCTCCCGCCTGCGGGCACAGGGAGGTCAGGGCCGGCGTGCCCAGCACGCGCGCGGCCCCGGCGCTGCCCCCTCGCCGYGGGCACCTACGCGGTGGGCAGCGCGCGGCCGTCCTTGGCGCGGTGCTGCAGCGCGGCCAGCTTGGCCGCTTGCTGCAGGTGCTGCTCCCCGAGCCGCGCGGGCGGCAGCACGTTGAAGAGCCCCTTGAGGTAGTCGGGGAGGACCTGGGGGGGGGCGCAGAGCGTGGGGCACGGCGGGTCCCCCCCGGCTGGGGACGTCGCCGCCGGGCGCCGCGGCGGTACCTGGTTGTAGTGCACGGTGACGTAGAGCTCGTTGTCGAACTTGAGCGGCTGGCTCCAGACCACGCGGCGGCACCAGAACATGTAGCTGGCGTCGAGGCGCTCGGTCTCGGTGGCCACGTCCAGGATGTATTCCCTGCGGGTCAGGGGCCGCACGCTCTGCCCTGCGCGGCGCCGGGCGCCTCAGCAAGGCGGCCCAGCCCGGTGCCCGCCGCAGCATCCCGTCGAGCCCTCACCCCTGTCGCTGACCACGAAGAGGATGTACTCGTCGAAGGCCTCCGGGCGCTGCAGCCCCATCTCGGAGCACAGCTCCTCTATCACGTCCAGAGCCACCTGGGTGCGAGGGCGGGCGGCTGGGACGGGGCACGTGCCCCTTTCCCAGGGAACAAATGCCCCGGCTTGGGGAGAGCAGAGCCGCGTCCCTCCTCATGCCCATGCTAGAGGGTCCCCAGCTGCAGCAGAGCATCCCAACTGCATCCCAACTGCATCCCAACTGCATCCCGGCTGGGTGAGCACCCTGGCGTTGCAGCGAGGGGCAAGGGCTGTTGGACCCCAGCTCCCTCCAACTCACCGAGCACGTCTTGATCTTGAGGTGCCTCTCGATGCCGCCGGGCAGGAGGAAGAGCTGGCGCTTGGCGCTGCGTCCGGCCTGCAAGGACAGTGCATTGACACCCGGCACATCCCAACTGGGGTCCCCAGCAGCCCTGGCCACCCCCAAATCATCCCTGGCTGGCACAGAGCCCCCGGCTGCYGCGCGGGCACCATCGAGTGTCTCCACTCACCACCATGGCTTTGAGCTCCATGCTGCTGGGGAAGAGGCACCGGCCACCAAACTGCAGYGTTTTCCGCAGGTTTTGCTCACAGGCTTTGGAGATGCCTGGGGGAAACAGGGCTCAGTTCGAAGCCAGCAGTGCCAGGGCTGGTCCACGTGCCACCCCCGGCACCCCAGGTCCTTTTGGCTGTTCCCAGCTCTACAAAAGCGGCTCCGGAGTGTGGGATATTCCAGGGTGAATTTCCCCACCCTGGACACTGGGTGCAAATGCAGAGCCCCTACCCTGGAAGGGCAGCGCCGGGCGCCCGCCGGCGTCCTGCAGGAAAGCCAGCAGGAAGGGCTTGAGCACCTCGGAGCACTTGTAGTAGGCAGTGAGGATGTAGAGCAGCCTCCAGCCCTTCTGGCAGCTGTCGCTGCAAGTGAAAACCCGGGGCTGAGTCCCCAAAAGGGCCACGGCGGCACCCGCAGCCCTGGGGACCGGCCCAGCTCCCTGGCCACCCCCTGGCAGGGTGCACCCGTGTCCCCAGGGCCAAGTCCGTGCGGGGACCGCRTCCCTGCACCCGGGCAGCTCGCGCACTCACGGCTTGGAGCTGGTGTTGTCCGTGATCTGCTTGAGAATCTGGCAATAGACCTCRTCGCGCAGGACCTCGTGCTCTGCGCACAGCTGGGGAGAGCCGCGTGCCGGGACTTGTCCCCAAGGGTGCCCCCGCTGCCACCCCCTCCCCAGGACACCCCGAGGCTCATCCCGCATCAGGACRGGATTTACCTTGAGGATGGTGCAGACGGTGTCCAGCTCCGACTGGCCCCTCGGAGGGTAGTCACCCATGAACTTCATCACAGCTGGAGACAGGAAGGCCACCAAACGATGAGCTCAACCTGTCCCTTCCCTTTGGGGTCCCCAAACCATTGCGGGGTGGAGGGGGGTGGCAACAAGGCTGCAGGGGCTGCAACCTCCATCCTCCCCATTTCCCATCCACATCCTGCCCTGCTCTGCTCCAGGAGGGCCCCGAGGGCAGGGGCACCAGGAGCACCTGCCTTGGAAAGCCTCGACGGCCAGTTTGCTGACACCGCTGTCAGCGAAGTCGATGAGCGACTCCTGGATGGGGACCTGCAGGGTGGCAGCRGGGCGAGGGGCAGCCAGAGGGACGAGCCTGGCATCCGGAGAGGTCCCCAGGGCCATGGCACAGCGATGGCCAGCAGGGCGACCGCAGGACGACCCATTTCCCCCGCTACCTTGGTGAACTTGAGCATCTCCATCTCATCCAGCGGCTCCCCGGCCTGCTTGCCTGTCTGCCCGTGGGAGTCCCTAGGAGAGCAGCCATGGAGGCAGCGGGAGGTCAGCCCGGTGCCCCCCGCGYGGGTCCGTCCGCCGGGCACCCCCGGGACGGGGCACTCACGTCTGCCCGTGCCGCGCCGCACGGAAATGCTGCCGGGCGAAGGCCAGCATGGGGAGCGCCCCGCGCGGCACCACGGACCCCGCGGTGCCGCGGCCCTCCGCGCCCTCGGAGCAGCCGGCGGGCGCCTGCGGAGAGGGGCAGGGAGCCGTGAGCACCGGCACGGCCGGCACCGCGCACGGGGACAGCTTCCATAGCCAAACCCACCTCCGTTTTCCGGTCGAGCTTCCAGGCCACRGCGGTGGAGGCCACGGCCACGGCCACGGCCGCCGAGGCCGCCACCTTGCCCTGCTTGTCCCTGGGCTCCTCCTTGGTGTCCGCCGGCAAGTGCACGAAGTCGGGGGCGGCGACGGGCTGGACGTACTCGGYGGGGAAGAGCCCCGACCTGCCGTGGATGGCCCCGAACTTCCAGCCTGCGGCGGGCGGGCGGCTCAGGAGCAGCCCCCGGTTTGTCCGGGGGAAGCCTCCGGTGCTGCTGCCTCCTGCCCTGGCAGGTTCCCTGGTTCCCGTTGGGAATGGCTGCGGGATGGCTCTGCTCGGGGCCGAGGGCAGCAGGGAGCCCAATAGCCACCCACCGAAGTCCTGCGTGCCCGTCTGCAGCTCCTCCAGGTACATGACCTTCTTACGGACCACGCAGCCATAGTAGTGGTCTGGGGGGGACAGGCACGACTTGCAGTCGCAGCCGTCCCCAGCACTAGCCAGGACACCAGTCCTGATGCCCGCATGCGAGGAGGACACGGCTCCTCCTGGGGCTCGTCCAGGGAGCTCCCCACGGCAGGGTGCGGGACCCAGGGGATACTCGCCTCTCTCAGGCTGCTCCAGCGACTGCAGGTGGATGATGTCCCCTTTGTGGAAGCTCAGCTGGCCCCTGTCCTCCGGGCTGTAGTTCCTCACAGCCACCACATACTGGGAGTCCTGGGCACAGGGCGAGCTGGCATGCATGCACCGCACGGAGAGCCACGCAAATGCATGCACACGTATGCACACACATGTAGAAGCATGCACATGCGTGCACASACGTGCTTGCACACCACATGCCGTGGGGTTCCAAGCACCAGCACAACCATGCCAAGGTGCCACCAACACACCAAGCCCCGCCAGCTGCAGGCCTGGTCCCATTTGCAGGACATCCTCCACTGTCTCCTATAGACCCCTTGGGTTCAGGACCTGGCCTTGGGGACATGCCAGGGCAGCCGCAACCYGGGGGCTCTCCCACCTTCCGGAGCTCCGTGATGAAGTGGTCAACCATGGCCTTGACCTGCGGCGCCTTCGGGGAGAAGAGGATGAGCTTCTCGCTGCTCAGGTTGAACTCCAGCATGTTCCTGGACGGGGTGGTCACGAAGAGCACGTCGGCGTAGCTGGGGCAGGGCGAGGGGACGGTTACGCACCCGGCACCGCAGCACCCACTGCAGACCCCCCTCAGCAGCTCTGCACGGGGTGGGCGCCTGTGGGGCCCAGCACCTGCACCTGGGCTCGGGGGACCGCAGAGCAGAGCAGYGGGCAGGTTGCAGGTGGCAATTCATGCCCCAGAGCTACACGCAGCACCACGTATCCGTGGGGCCACATCCCCGCAGGACACGTGCATGGACGTGTGCACGCACGGACATGTGCACGGTGCCAACCCTGCCAGACGGTACCTAACCCCACCAGCACCAAAAAGACATCTCCAGGTCTACTGAAGCAGTAGAGCCATTTCTGCAGCCCCCTTCCCGCTATTCCCTCGGGAAAAGCCGCGTTCCCCGCCAGCCTACCTGTAGCCGCGCAGCACGCGCAGCTGCTCGCCGGGCATGTTGGTGCCCTTGACCAGGCGCAGCAGCTTGATGCCGGCGTGGGACACGGCCAGGATCTGCACGCCGGTGCCCACGCTGCCCTGCGGGACGGCGGCGCGTGTGGGCTGGGCCGAGGGGGTGACAGACCGGGACCGGGAGCGGGGCCCGCGCTGTCCCTCACCGTGGCGGGGAAGAGGCGCGAGAAATAGACGTCGCAGCCGTCACGCGCCGCCACGATGATCTCCCTCTTGACGCTCTCGGTGGCCACGGGGCTGAAGGAATCCAGCTTGTTTTCCGCTGCCAGGAGAAATAAGAAATATCCCCCGTGAGCGTCTTGCCTCCCGCCGGAGGGAGCGGGGAGCTGGGCAGGGTTTCTTGGGCAGAGCAGGGAAGCCCATCCGCTCRTGCAGACGGATCCTGCCCATGCACCCGCTCACGCAGCCAGCCCAGCTGAGACCTGGCCGCAGTTGTGACTCTATCGGTGCCAAAGGGCTCATTGGATTCAGAAGCAAAACAAGCCTGGCTTAAGCAGGGCGGGTTTTGGGCTCCCTGGGAGATGAGGATGAGCGCACCAGGGTCTGAGCTCCCTCCTGGCACCGGGGGTTCGGGTAGGGGTGGGTGAGCGTTACCAAAGAGGGATTTCATGCGGAGCCGCTCCTCCTGGCTGAGCCGCACGCAGGTGTCGCAGAGGGTGTCGCTGAAGATCTGGAGAAGGGTGTTAGGGGGGGCAGACAGAGCTGGTTGGCCCCAGGGGCTCCTGCCCCGCTGCGCCCGTGCTCACGGCGCAGGGAAGGGCTCCGGAGCCCCGGGAAGCTCTGGGGCCGGCTGGGTGCCGCACCTGCCGGAAGACGAGGTCCAGCAGCAGCGGGTCGTTGAAGTTGTCCTTGGGGTAGAAAACCTGCCGGGAGACGAGGRCGGCTACCTCGCATGGAGCGCCGCGCTCCGGGAAAATCCCCCTTTATCCAGCGCTTGGATGATGACTTTATCCCAGGGAGCACGGGGCGGATAATGCTGCCCATGCTGCATTGGCGCACCCAAGCTCTTTCCCTGGATCTCACCCTGCCGCATCCCGGCACAGTGCTCAGCCCCGTGCCCAGCCCCGTGCCCAGCCCCGGCACCTCCTTGCGGATGTAAATCTTCCAGGGCACGTTGCGGTAGGTGTAGAAGTCCTCGCTGCAGCTCCGGTGCAGCTGGGTCTGGACCTGCTGCGCCTCGGACGGCAGCTCCCGGGACACGGCGACTGCGAGCGGGAAAAGCCCTCGCTCGACGCTGGGGACACCAACGGCCCCGCTCCCACGGGGGACACTGTGTCCCRGGCCCAAGGTGCTGCAGCTCTGCCCGCGATACCTGGGGGCCGGGCAGGGGACAGCGGCCGCCCGGGYGGCGCTCGCAGCTGGAACCCAGCGCTGGTCACCGGCTTCACCGCGGCCACCGCCTCCCTGGGCGCCGAGAGCTGCCCCTTCAGGATCTGCATGGCCTCCTCGTGGGGGTCCTGCTTCTTCCCGAAGAGCTTGCCGCCTTCCTTCCTGCGGAACCCCATGGCATTGACAGGCCCCATGGCACTGATGGTGCCCCGTGGGGCTGGGACACGGCACAGGGATGGGACACGGCACAGAGCTGGGACACACTGCAGGACTGGGACAYGGTGCAGAGCTGGGACATGGCACAGGGCTGGGACACAGCGTGGGGCTGGGACATGGCGTGGGGCTGGGACACGCTGCAGGACTGGGACACGGCGCACGGCTGGGACCCGCTCCGGCACAGCAGGGCACCTGGCGGGCGCGGGGCCGCGTGCYGCCGGCTGGCACTGCCGGATGATGTTGCGGATGTTCTGCGTGGGCYGCGGGAAGTGCTCCGAGTTGAGGCGGGAGTGACGCACGAGCTCGCCGGGCCAGCGCCGGCCCCCGGGCGCTGCGGAGCCCAAGGCCACCACTGAGGACAGACGTCCCCTGCCACCCCGAGGGGGACAGGGGTGACCCGGAGCACTGGGACCRCCCCGCACGCGGCACCCTACCGGCTTTCTGCGCGTAGGGCCGGGGCTGCGGGACGGCCGGCGTCCCCTCCACCGCTCTGCCCTGCCAGGGTGACGGCACCGTGAACCACCATGGGCACGGCTGCCGCGCTTGCCCCTGCCCCATCGCCCGCCCCACGGCGGGAGCTCTGCCCCACTGACCGGGATCCCGGGCGGCCCCTTGGCGTCTGCGCGGCGCGGCGGGGACGGCGCCGGCTCTGCTCCCGCGAGACCCCCGGGTGGGTGCCGCTCAGCCGGGCCGCCGCGCTCGGCGTCGCYGCCGCCGCCTCCCTTCATGCGCTGCGAGAGCGCGGCCGGCTTGTCCAGCTCCTGCGGAGCAGGCGTCAGGAGGGGAGCGCCGACAGTGCCCGCACGCGTGGCGGGACCATGGCWGAACCGGGCACCAGCCCAGTCACCCTCCCTCCTCTTCCTCACCCCATTGCCGTAGGAGAGCACCGGGTCGAAGAGGCTGTCCAGGTAGCGGTCCAGGCCCTTCTGGCTCCGCGGCTCGCCAAATTCGGCGTCTGTGGGGGGCACAGGGCTGAGGGTGGCGGGCGCYGTGGGGCAGAGCCGGCGGCGCCGTGCCCGGCAGCGATGCCTACCGTGGGCCGGGTACGCGTCGGCGGCCGGCGCCGCGCGGGCCGGCAGCGTCGGGGCTCTCACAGCCGGAGGCGGCGGCACTTCGTCCAGGTCCAGGCCGTGTCTCAGCACCCTGCGGGATGGAGGTCGGGTTGGCAGCGTGGCTCAATGCAGGCTGGACAGCACCGCGAGCCCGGCCCTGCCCGGTACCTACGCGCGGCCGGCACCGCCGCGGCTCTCGGCGCCCTCCCAGGCGATGAGGAAGTAGGACTTCTGCTTGGGGAAGCCGGGGAGCAGCTCGAGCTCAGAGACCAGGTCCAGCACGTAGTCGTGGCCGGCCAGCTCGGCCCACTGGGCGCCCTCCTTCATGGACACGGACCAGCCGCGGCAGCCCTCGGCCAAGCCCCTGCCCAGAGCGGGGCCGCTGGGCACGGCGCAGCACCGGAGCCCCGGCGCGTGCGGCTCCGGGGGTGCCGRGCCGCGGCACGTGGCCCCGCGCCGGCACCTACCTGTGCTTCAGGACGTCCCCCGCCAGGTCCTCGCCGGTGCTCCACGAGTGGACGGGGCAGGAGAAGCGGTCGCCTGCAGGAGAGCGGCGGTGAGCGGCGGGCGCCGCGTCCCGGCTCGGCGGCCCCTCGGCGGCGCCGCACCGTTGAAGCAGTGCACGTCGAGCGCCATGCGGGCCTGCTGCCTGTTGGCCGTCCACTCCAGCAGCGAGGGCGGGTGGGCGCGCGCCGCCGCGGCGCCCATCGCCTGCATCAGCTTGCGCTGGCACACCGGCTTGTAGCCCGCGAAGGCGTAGTCGGAGACGAACCTGCGGGCGCACGGGGATGCCGAGGGGTCGCGCGGCGCCCGGCGGCTCCCCCGGCAGCGCCCCGGCCCCACTCACTTGAGCAGGTACTTGTCGAAGGCGGCGGACGGCGGGAAGGCGCTGAGGCAGGCGGCCAGCAGCAGCCAGCCCCGCTCCTCGTTGTTGACGTTCGTGTTGCGCCAGACCTGGTTGGCCGCCTGCGCCAGCAGCTCGTCCCGCAGCCCCGGCGCCGCCAGCCCCTTCTGCACGATGTAGTTGCCGAAGAGGGTCTCCTGCACGCCGCCCAGCCCCGGGTCCCCCATGAAGCGCAGGATCTGCCATGGGSAGAGTGAGGGCTGCAGGGTGGCACCGCTGCGCCAGCCCTGCTCCTCTTCCTCCAGCTCCTTCATCCCCACCACAGGGATGGGGCAAAGGCCAGGATCATCGTGCCGATGGAGGAAGAATGGCCTGGAGTGGGCTGAAAGAAGGAGCGGAGCTTTCCATGGAGGGGACAGAGGGGATGGGGAGATGGAGAGGTGGAGGGACAAAGGTGATGGAGGAGATGAAGGCGATGGAGGAGATGAAGGGATGAAGACATGGAGGGGGAAAAGGATGGAGGCGATGAAGACATAGAGGAAAAGTAGAGTTGGAGGGGAAGCACAAGGTGCAGAGGATGGAGATGCAGGGGATGGAGGGGACAGAGAGGTTGCAGGAGATGAAGGGACAGACGGAAAGGAGGGACGGTGGAAAGCCAGGTAGAGGGGATGGAGAGGACAGAGGGATGGAAAGCACAGCCACCACAATGGGAGGGATGTCCCAGCCTGGTGGCAACAGACGCCGTGCCACTTACCAGCTTGAAAAGGCCGAGGGCCTCGTGGCAGAGCTCCTCGTCCAGGCGGGTGAGGGGGGCGGCCAGCGGGGCCGTGAGCATCCCGAACGCCGGCTCCTGCAGCGACACCGACCGCGCACCCGTGGCTACCGGCGCCCGCGCCAGCGCCCGGCCTGCACTGGGCATCATGCGCCGCTGGACGGCSGCGCGCTGGGCATCACGTCGCCGCTGGACGGGGCCGGAGCCGGGTGCTGCAAAGGGGCAGGGGTGCAGGACGGGGCCGGCGGCCAGCGCCGTGCTCGGGCTGTTCCAACATGGATAGAGATGCCAGTAAGGCCGAGAGCAGGACCCAGCACCACTGCTGCCATTTGGGATCCTGGAGGCTTGAAAACACACTACGAAAGCAGAGGAGGAGGAGGAGGAGGAGGAAGGGTGCAAAGCCATGCGTCCATTCGGGCCAGGGACGGGGGGCCTGGGAGCAAAGCGACCTGATCTCCCGGCCCCGCGGAGTGACGTTTCGGATCCGCCCCGAGTTGGGCATCCAGGAGGGCTCGGCCGGTGTCTCACGTCACTCCGAAAACCTCAGCGGGGTCCCCCCGGCCTCTGGAGACGACAGGAACCCCAGGGAGGGCGGGAGGCCACGGCCCGGCTCGGCGCAGCGCCCGCAGCCACCCCTCGATCCGGCCCCTCTGCATCCCGCCCCGGGCGCATCCCGGAGCCGAGGCGGGAATGGGAGAGTGGAGCCGGGAACGGGAGAGTGGAGCCGAGCTCGGGGGCCTGCGTCCAACCGCGCGGCCGTGCTGCCCCGCGGGGCGCCGAGGACCCCCCGGAACGCCGTCTCCCACCCGCGGCAAGAGCGGGGAGCCGGGGGCGCGCGGCCGCCCTCGGCGGGGCCGCCAGCGCCTCCCTTACCTGGAAGTGGCCCCGCACGTACTTGGCCATGGGGTAGTCGTTGATGTCGAGCGGGAGCGTGAGGCGCGAGTCGGGCTGCAGCGCCGGCGGCGGCACCAGCACCACGCAGCCGGCGTTCACCTGCCCGGCGGCTGCGGCACACGGCGCGGCTCGGACGCGGCGCCCAGCCCGGGCGCGCGCCGCCGCCGGCACCACGTACCTGCCGCGGCCTCCAGCAGCCCCATGAGCTCGGCGGGGATCTCCAGGTGCGTCACGTCCATCACCTCCCGCCTCGTCAGCTCCTGCGGGGTGGGCACGGTGGGTTGGGTGGGTGGGTGGATGGGGGCACTGCAGCACCCCGGCAATGCCGCCCGGCCGCTCCTTACCTGCTTCATCCTCTCTTTCTCCTCCTGTGCCCGCCGCCGGGCGTCCTCCTTCCTCTGCAAGGACAGTGGCCACACTGAGCTCTGCGCTGGCTCCCTTGGGAAACCTGGGAGCCAGCGCAGTGCGGTGCCAGCCCCGCTCAGGGACCTCTCTGGAGCACCCAGCTGTGCGGGCAGGGATGCACAATGCGCCTGGGTCCCTCTCGGCATCACCAGGGTTTGGCCCAAAACGAGCTCCACTCACACCAAACAGAGCAGCATGAGGAGGAGGTGGCTGGGATGGGGGCTCAGGWGGGTGTGGACACTGGGATCACAGAATCCCAGAATGGTTGAGGTTGGAAAGGACCTCTAGAGATCATCGAGTCCAACCTCCCTGCTCAAGCAGGGACACCCAGAGCGCACGGAACAGGGTGGCATCCAGGCAGTTTTTGAAGACCTCCAGAGAAGGAGCCTCCACACCCTCCCTGGGCAGCCTGTGCCAGGGCTCTGGCATTCTCACAGTGAAGAAGYTCCTCCTCACATGGAGACGGAACTGCCTGCRTTGCAGCTTGCACCCATTACCCCTTGTCCTGTCACTGGCCACCACTGAGAAGAGCCTCCCTACATCCCCCCTTCATGTCCTTATCCATGTTAACCAGATCCCTCTCAACCTTCCCTTCCCCAGGCTAAAGGGCTCAGCGCCAGGTCCCGCGCACGCCCACCCCCCAGCCCACCCTGGGGCCGCCGTCCCGCCGCTCACCTTGAGGTACCGCCGGCGGTTCACGTAGATGTGCACGAGCGACCTGAACTTGATGAGCGTGTGCCTCATGCGCCGGTAGCGCTGCCTGCGCGGGGGGCGCCCGTCACCGCCGTGCCCGCGCCCGTGCCCGTGCCCGTGCCCGTGCCCCGCGCCGCTCGGGCCCTACCTGGCCAGGTAGCCGCGCGCCCGGCTCTGCAGCAGGACGATCTTGCGGCGCAGGGAGCGGAAGCGGCGCTTGATGAAGAAGGTGCGGGCGTAGCGCTGCAGCGTGAGCGCCGCCAGGTGATGCGCCCGCGACCGCTTGCTCTCCAGCGCCTGGTACAGCTGCTCCTTGAGGAAGAGCTGCGGGAGCGATGCCATGAGGCCCGGCATCGCCGTGGGGTCCCGCTGCTGCCCCGGGGGTCCTCCCATGGGCACACACAGCCCCGCAGCAGCATTGAGGCCTCGGGGGGCTCCCCAAGCAGCCACGGCCACGGGGATGGTCACCTTGCTCACACCGACGTAGTACATGCTGGGCGTGACGGGGCAGAGGTTCCGCAGCATCTCCACGCAGTTGGTCCCGTTGGGAATGACGTTGGACCACATGTCGACAAGGCAGCGGTACCTGCGTGATGCCCAACACTGTTACGGGGGCTGGGGCAAGACCAGATTGAGGAAAACCTCCGACCATCTGCCTTGGGCACCTTCCTGGGGACATCTGCACAGGCCCGTCTCCCTCTTGGTGATTAGCACTATGTCTGCAGAAGTAGCTTGGTTCAGCTTGGCAACCAAATCTGGGAGGTTTCCAGCTCCACATCACTCCCATGGGAGCCCCTGTGCCAAACACTGCCTCCCAGGTTCCCGCCGGCTTTTTGGTCTTTTGCTGGTGGCACCCAACCCGTCTCTGGGGACCCTCCATCCTCCCCGGCTCCTGCAGCCACACGGCGCCATGCCACAGTACCTGTCGATGAAGACGAGGAAGGGGATGCGGATGGGGAATCCTTCCTTGCGGATGCGGATGGTCTCCAGGATGCCCGAGTAGCGGAGCTGGCTGCTGACGACGTCGGCCTCGAAGAGCCCGGGCTCCTGCGCGCGAGGGAGGGAAGCGCCGAGTGCGGCGCGGCGCCGGCGGGACCTTGCCGCGTCCTCGCGCGCCTCGTCTCACCTTCTTGTTGTTGGGCTTGAGGCAGCGCACGAAGAAGGGATTGCACCTGCGTTGGGGAGACACTGGTGGTGCCAGGGCGYGGGGAAGGACGGTGTCCCGTGCTCCCTCCCTGCTGCCCCTCGTGGGACACCTTGGTTCAGGATCATCCTTCCCTGCTGTCAGCCATCCGCCAACCCAACGTGGCTCCTGCTGGCCCTGGCTGCACTGACCTCTCCATCTTCTCCACCAGGTCCAGCAGGGACTGCTGGAACCTGGCAGCCACGGTGGGCGCCTTGTAGCGCCGCGTCCTGGTGCTGCTCCTCCCCACCAGGCTCCTCTGCCGGGCCAGCACCTGGGCATGGCCGAAGAAGAGGTTGGCCACCACCTTGGAGGGATGGGAAGGGTCACCGTGGAGCAAGGCTGCTGAGGGCACAGCACCCTCACAGCCTCGTGGGCAAAGCCCCGAGGAGAGCAGAAGGGACCAAACTGGTCCAGCGCCTCCCTCCCCACTGATGCAGAGACCCAAGGAGGAGCAGGGTCCTACCTTGGTCCTGCTGCTGATGAACAGGTCCAGAACRTCCTGCCGCACCTGGTCATAGTTCTTATCCAAAAACTTGTGCACCTGCCAAAGAGCACAGCCTGATAAACCACCACGTCAGCAATGTCTCTCACCTACCCTTAAAACACCTCTCTRAAGGGCAGGCCAAGCTTCTCGCCACCACGCACCTGGTAGGTCACCTTCCCTGCGTAGTGTTTGATGGTGAACTCGGGCAGCGGCATCTTCGGCTTGGTGTACAGYGGGTTGGTCCCGTGGTGGTAGTGACACTTCTGGAGGAAAGTGTGGTCCGTGGCCTGGGAACGGGTGCAGGTGTGAGGGTGGAGGCTCTGAGACCCCCCTCATGCTGGTTGGTGGCTCCGGAGGTGCCCACTTTGGGACAGGGACACCCATCCGGGTGTTGTGCCTCCAGCTACGCCAAGCGATGTGAGGAATTTCTCCTTGGAGAGGATGGCTCCCTGATGAGGACAGATCTCTGCTGTCCTCCCCACGCTGCTCACCCCATGTGGCACAGAGCACGTGGAAATATAAGGTGACTGTAAAGGATGGGACATTCATTGCAGCCAGGCTGCAAGATGGGAGGAACCATCACAGCCAGGTCCAGGGCTCTCAGTTCTGCCACCAAACAGCTGCATGGTCAGGGGTGTCTGCTTTGCTGTGCCTCAGTTTCCCCATCTTCAGGGAGGGTGCAATCACCCAGAGCACAACTGGGAGTTTTATCCAGTAATTCCCACAAAAGCAGCTCCTCTGGGGAAAGCCGCACCAGGGGCACGGAGCTGGGACCTCTCGGAGGTTGTGCAGCCCTGGGGAGATCTGGCGGATCTCCCCACTTCACCCAGGAGAGCCCAAGAGCCGAGCAGCAGCCCTGGGACACGGGTGGCATCCCAGGCCGGGTGATACGGCGGGTGCCCCGTCCTCGTGCCTCACCTGGGGGAAGCAGCTCTGGTCATCGAGGATACGCAGGATGCCGTAGGGTTTCTGGGAGATGAGGTCGATGCAGGGCTGGTTGTCGCTGAAGGGGATTTCCTTCCACTCGATCTGCTCACGGATGTACTCCTCCTGCGGAGCCGGCCAGCTCGGTCACCCCGGCCACAGGACCAGGTGCCCCAAACGCCAAGAACAGGCTTTTGGACACCCCAACACCCTCAGCTCGGTGGGAACCCCCCGAGGACAACGCAAGGGGCAGACCAGGGACAGCCAGACGTCGGGGACTGCTTGTGCTCCCACCTGCTCCTCCTGGAAGACGATCTTGTTGAAGAAGAACTGCAGGTACTCGTTGGCGTAGTTGATGCACAACTGCTCGAAGCTGTTGAAGTTGAGGTCCTGTGGAGAGAGGGGGGTCATGGCGCCAAGACCACGCAGGAGCCAGCCCCACTGGAGCCCTGATCCGTGCCGAACCCATCCTGCAGTCCCGAGTGCTGCTGGTTGTTATGGGATGCACATGGAAGGGTGGGATGCAGGGAGCCCGCACACGGAGCTGGCCCCGCTCACCTCAAAGCCATAGATATCCAGGATGGCGATGGAGAGGGCCTCTTGCCGGGGGTACACCAGCTTGTTGATGCGGTCCGTCAGCCAGCCAAAGAGCAGGGAATAGAGGGTCTTGGCAATGGCATCCCTGGGAAGAGGAGGGAGGCGAAGGAGCGCTGGCTGGAGGAGCTCCGGGCAGGGAGGCAGCGCCCTGGGTGCTCCAGCGTGTCCCTCGTCCCTGCTGCCCCCTGTACCAGCCCCGGCTTTGCCCCTGCACCCACCTGGCGTCCACGGCGCTCTCCACAGTCAGCGGGGTAAAAATCTTCTCCCGCAGCGTCTCCTGGTTTGGAGAAGGCAAACGGCACAGGGCAGGCGTTCGCTGCAGCAAGAGCCAAACGCCGCGGCGCTGTCACCCCGAGGCCACCGCGGCCGCCCCACTCACCGTCACCTTGAAGGTGATGGCCTTCTGCAGGCCCTCGGGCGAGATCTGCAGCAGCTCGGCCACGGTCTGGATCTCCGTGGCGCTCACCACGGTCGCCACCTCCTGGCAGTCCGTCTGGGAGACGGACGGTGACATGGAGAGGAGGGACAGTCACTGGGRTGGGGAGGAGGATCTGCCCACAGGTCCCTCCAGCATGGGATGGCCACAGGGCCGAGGAGAAGAGCAGCCCATGGTGCTGCCCAACCAGGTCAGCTGAGTCCATTTGCACCACGGCATGTCCCCCTCGTCCTGGCCCCACTCCAGGGCTGCCACCAGCCCCATCCCTTCCCTGGCACCTCGTATTTTTCGAAGTAGACGTTGCCCAGGTGGAGGATGGAGGACAGGATGCGGAAGATGCTGTTCTGCTCCTCGATGCTGAAGCTCAGGACCTCCATGGTGTTGAGCAGCCGCCGGAAATCCTCAGCATCATCCTTGCCAGGGATCTCACAGTTCCCACCCTGGCAGAATCCCATGGAAATGTGCATTCTTCCATCAGTCCCTGCATGCTGCAGGGACCTTGACCAGCTTCCCTCCGCTGGGAGGACACCTTGCTCCAACCTCTGCCTGGAGCATCCTCCCCAGCCGCCTGCGGGTACCCGCAGGGGTGCATCCTGCTCCCCGCAATCCCGCATCCCGCATGCAGGCTTGCCGGGTGGGCACCCTACCTGGTTCAGGTAGTAGTAGGTCTCGGCGCCCTGCAGGCAGTACTTCTGCCGCTGCTGGGCAGGGAGCCCGGCCAGCATCTCGTAGAAGATGTGGTAGTTGCGCTCGTTTTTGGCCTGCGAAGGACGAGGAGGAGGAGGCTGAGCAGAGGCCGAAGGCAGGGCGGGCAGAGGCCGGGCCAGCTCAGCACGCACCTGGAACACCACGCGGGACTTCTCCAGCAGGTACTGCGAGGTTATGGCACCACAGATCAAGCCGCTGCAGGGACGGGACAGGGAGCCCGGGTTGGCATCCGTGGTGTGGCCAAAACCACAGGCTGAGCCCCATTTGCTTGGAGCACGGGTCTGTGCCCACCCCATGGTGCCCAGCGGTGCAYACAACCAGCTGGACCCACTGCGCCCGTGGTGGAACTGGGCAGCCCTCTGGCAGGGCCTGCTGCCCACGCTGGGTGCCCTATGGACAGGGGAGCACCTATGGGGCAAGCAAGGGCAAGACGAGCCATGGGGCTTGGTGGAAGGTCAGGGACCTGCCCGTGGTCCCCGTCGCTTCTCCTCGTCCTGGTATGGGGACACGGCCACGGCAGTGCCTTGGGCAGGGGACAGCAGATGCTGCATGTGCAACATCGTGGTACCCACCCATGGATTCCCCCATCTGCATTTTGCCCCCATTGAGGCAGAGCCACGTGCTGTCCCACACCGGGCTCGGTGACAGCCAAGCAGAGCCAAGAGGATGGTGAGGGCAGCCCAGCAACACAAAGCTTAGACTGGGATGGGGTCTTGGCCCAGGACAGGGGTCCTGGACTGGATCTGGGATCTCGGGCTGGCACTGGGTCGCAGTGGCTCCCCCAGGACAGGGAGGATGAGAGGGGCAGGGCCAAGAGTGCACGGATGTTTGTCACCATTACTTACTCTTCCAGAAAGATTTCCACAAACTTCCCAAACCTGCTGGAATTGTCATTCCTCACGGTTTTGGCATTGCCGAAGGATTCCAGCAAGGGGGTCGCCTCCAGRATCTGCCCCCGGCAGACGGGGAGAACCACAGCGTGAAGCACAGTGTGAGCACAGGGTGTCCCCCGGGGTGCGGGTCCCACCGCCCACCCAGCAGGGCCCCCCTTCCCGCCACCTCCTGCCCTGAGCAGAGAGCACAGGGACACAAATCCCAGTGGGTGACACTGTGGGACTGTGCAGGGAGGTGGGACAACACGAGGACACCCCCCACACCGCCGCAGGTTTTGCACCCACGGTCCCTGCGCAGCCGGGGGCACGTGGCAGCGATGCCACCGTGGCACTGGGCTCCCTCACGCCGCCACAGCCCCCGTGTTGCTCCACGTACCTCTATCTGCCGTGGTCCGGGGGAAGCATGGGGACAAGGAGAGCGGTGAGCACAGCC